TTTTTTTTTTTTTTTTTTTTTTTTTTTTTAGTAGTAAGATCTAAACACAGAAGGGACTGAAGACTTCTTACGTTAGACAAAGCTAGTTGATGGGCATGCTGTACTGAGTGGGTCAAACCCAGCAACACATACTTCAAGCACAGAGAAGCATTATGTAGTCCCATGAAGTAGCGCTCCAGAGGAGGGTGGTGTCTGCCCTTTTTTAGGTTGAACTGCTGCTCAGGGTAGTAAAAAGGAAAGGGATTGCGGCACAGCACCCTGTTGAGATGGCGCCATGGAGCCATGCACATTCTCATTTACACCTCATTGGCTTAATAGTCTGTTCAAGACCACTGTGAACAGAACAGATTCAAACCTCCACCTGTCTGGCTTTAGAGCCTTTGTTGTCATTTCTACACTGCTGGCCTCTTCTGTTGTGTCAGTGGTAGGGGAGGTGGTAGATGTGGCCATGTGACATGCCAGTAACATAGCCATGCTTTTTCAGGTGGGTTTAGTTTCTCAGTACATCCTACCTGCTCTCAGAGCTTAGTGAAGCAGGTATTGGAAGAAAAGTGTGAGATTGAACCCCAACTTATTTTTTAGACTTAAACCTGTTATTTCTTTATTTGCAGAATGAGTTCCCCGTCCCTGAGCAGTTCAAGACCCTATGGAATGGGAAGAAGTTGGTCACCACAGTGACGGAAATTGCTGGTTAAGCGAAGTGCCACTGGGTTCTTTGCCCTTTCCCTCACACCATGGGATAAATCTGTATCAAGACGGTTCTTTTGTAGATTTCCTCTACCTTTCTGCTCTTAAACTGCTTCTCTGCTTTGAGAAGCACAGCTACCTGCCTTCATTGAAATATACCTCAGGCCGAGATTTGGGGTAGGATAGCAGGTCAGTTGATCTTCTGCAGGAAGGTGCAGCTTTTTCCTATCCACTCAACCACCTGCCAGTCCGTTCTTAAGGAACTGCAAACCAGAACTGGTATGTTTTAGCTTTCAGCCTTTGTGGATAATTCCACCAAGTCTTTTGGGAAGAATAAAGCAGTCCCCAGGAATTAACAGCTCAGAAAGTTCACACAAGTTAATCTTTTCCTAACAATGAGCATGAAGGTAGCAGAAGCTGGTGTGATTCCAGCTGGTTCTTCTAACCAGACTAATTTTTCACTATTGATAAGTGAGGCGAGGGTTGCACTGGACCAAAGGCTGAATGAAGCTTGGCCGTCTGGCATTCCAAGCAAAATGGTTTCCTCTAAGTATTCCTTTTATTCTGCATTCCATCCTGGCTCCGCCTGAACCTGAGATAGTAGGTTCTCCTGTATTAGCTACTGTGGCAGTGCCCTGTACCCAGGCCAGTTTAAGGAGTCTTGGACCCTTTCTTTCTGTGGGATCCCTGCCCATCTTTCTACAGAGATGACTTAAAAAGAGAAAAAAAAGGAAAAACACACCATTCCAGGGAATCTGGCATTCCTTCCTCCTTCCATGCTAGATGCCTATCATCCATCTTCACTGTCTCCATTGCCCTATCATGCTCAACAGCTTTTGGCTTCTGTCCAGGCACCTGAACAAAGGACTAAAATCTCCACTGCAGGCTGGTTTTTGGTCTTATGTAAGAATCTTGCACAGCAATGCTAATGTAAATTTCAGTTTTTCCCTCTAGGACAAACACATACCAAAATATGCAACTTTTTTTTTTTTTTGGTGGGAAGAGAGATTGTCCTGTGACTTCTACCCATTTCCTGTGGCCTGTAGAAATAAACCTTTATCTACTTAAAGTTATACAGAAAATAGAATAAAATTAATACCAAACTTGCTTAGTATTTTACCTACGATATTTACTGTACAGAGATGTAAGAATATTGAAGACAAACATGACACAAAGGATAAGAAGCTCTTTATTTTATACAACCTCATACAATTCTTTTCACATCACCCCACTTCTTGCCCCGAAGCCTCATCTTTTAGTTGAAAAATAAGGCTTGAGAGGTGAAGGAAAAATCATAAAGGGTATAAACTTTACAGCACTAGCTAGGTACTTACTTCTCTCATGCATAGCTAATCATTTCCCCAAACAGGCATTCTGCACAAGTCTCCCAAAACAGTGTTAAGTTTTCATGGGCAGGGGAGTAGGGGTTAACACGTCCATGCTCAGATAGGGTGGGATGTGGTAGATTAAGGTTAGTTTTCTTTACCGTAACAGGAATTCTCAGTTCTTAATATTCTAATATGGGTTGATCTCCAAGAGGAGAAAAGGGGTGTGCCATATTCCCCAAGCTTTTTGAGCAAACATTTTTATTCACAGAACACATCAGAAACAAGTTTGGATAGTACTGGTAAATATTTTTTGTGATGGAAATTAGCCTGATCTTTTCATATTTTTCCTCCCATTCTCTGCTAATGCCAGTAACAGAGTGACTTTGGAATCCAGACCATTAGTCATATTAAGGACAATCAAGGATGGAATGGAAAAAACCAGCCACCTACCTCCTCAGTTTTCATTTCCATTTCTACATTTTTCTTAACATCCCCCTGCCCCCGGTCTAAGTTAAGCAATATGTACACTTCCTGCCTTAAGCAATCCAACTGGGTGTTACTTCCCTCCTCCTGTGACAGAACAACTAATTTATCGCTATCTGAGGAGATAGCGTGCAACTGAAGCAAGATGGTGGGCTAGCGGAATTGGTCTAATTGTTAAGACTCCACAGAAAACATTCAGAGAGGAGGGCAGCTCATTATGCAGCATCATCCAAGCAATACTCTTCCAAGCACTGTTAAAGCTCCACCAGCAAAACTGAGGAAGCATTTATGTGAATACCTCAGGCCTGGGTATTGGCCTCTTGGCTTGAAATGTGGCTAGATTTATGTGAGAAAGAATCTGTTTGCCCTTAGAATCTATGTCATTGCTTTAGTTTATGCAGTCTCTTCTGGGCTGGGCACAGTTCTGGCACTGACTTGCAGCAGACTGTTTCCTAAGACAGCCTGACTACATCAAATGGTTGTAAAATAATCTCCGTGGTTAACAACTAATTAAACTTGCATTCAACACCATATGCTGATAGGATGAGGCAAAGGATAAGATTTGGATCTTAGATCTTTCCGAGTGGGCCATGCTAGATGACGACTAGAGAGAAGGGTTAGTTGCAAGCTGGATCTGTGCTCAGGCTTGGGCATGAAGGGAACAGTTCACTGGTTTGGAAGTGCTGAGGGCTCCCTGAGCTCTGGTGCAAATAGCAAAGGTTTTACTTAAGGAAGGGTATGATGTTGGCATAAAACCATTCTTCAGACAGTTGAAGATGGTCCCCTTGTACAGCCAGGAATACTAGTTGTCCTGCATTGTCCATTTCTTTTAGCCCCAGGCGGTCCTGCAGAGATAAAGACCATAATTAATCAAAAGGTTTAATGAAAAGTTTTGGGGTAAAAGTAAAGAAATAGAATGTTAACCTGAGATATATTCTCAAAATGCAATCTTTCCCCTAAATATTAAAATTTAAGTGTACTGTGAAAAACGCCAAAAAGGTTACCTCCTATTTTCCCCCCTAAGCATTAAAAATATATGCAGTTGAGATTATTCTATAGTTTTACATTCTGCTTTTTGAAGTTTCCCAAAGCTTCTGGAGGACAAAACTGCTTCAAAATGTCAGTTAAGTGGAACTGACCCAAAGACAGGAGAACATTAGCTTGATAACTTAAAACACCCAACCCTTAGAAGTGCCATTACCCATAGCCTGTGTGCCACAGAACAAATATGGTGGGAAAATGAGCAGTTAGGAGTGTCAGAACATTGCTTCTGTGGTTACCGTAAGTTTGAGTTTCTTAGTTGTAATTTCCAAAACTTAAGAGACCCTAGCTTCCCTCTTACCTCACCCAAGAGGGGCATCAAATGCAAGAGAAAAGCTAAGAGAGAAGACTATAAGCTTCTGAAATTTGAAGAAATTCTAGGAGAAGGCTGTTGGTTCGGACATAGCACTTGTGCATTTTTGGGAGAGTCTATCTCCGTTATGAGATCTTTAGAGGGTGGAGTTGTAGGTGATAAAATGCTGCCACCTCTGCTTGAGAAACCATCTACTGCTAAAAAAAAGTTTACAACTCTAGTCGAATTCATTCCTGCAGGAGCTCCCCTTGTCAGTGCCTAATTTTAAAACATCCACATCTATTAATGTTTTCAAGTAACATCTGTCTCTACTGTCTTCATTATGCCTGGGGGGCTTCTTGGATTTGATCCAGTCTGCACCACAGCAGAGGAAGCCAGTTCTAACCTTTTTATCAAAAGGAAGGAGCTAGAAATGATGTGTCCCTTGGACATGCTTGGAAACCATGAGGTATAGGTCCTTAGATCTTCAGGATGTAGATTTCTGTAAACCAGCACCTAAAAGACTAGTGTAACAGTCAGCAGCCTAACCAGCCTCACTGAGACATGGGTCAGATGCCTCACAAGCACTTACTACTCTGGGATGTACAGGACAGGTTCTATCATCCAAGGACCCAGCAGCTTCAGGAGATTCAGGAGAACTGAAAAGCACAGCACCTCTCCCCACCCAGTTACCTGTGTGTATAGAGTGGTCTTCTGTAAGGGAATGGTTTCCTTGTCTTGACCACTTCTGTAAAATCCAAACCACTGCAAGAAAGAAGGAAGAAATATACAGATCAGACACATGGCATATATACTGCCAAAGTAATTTAAGACTGGTTGGTAGCTAAGACTACCAACAAACATCACAAAGGTGTAGTAAGGAGGAAAAATAGAATGTCTTGAGTCATCTCTTTTTTAAGGGTAGACCTTGAGAGATGAGTTAATCTTTCCAAAGAGCTTCCCAATTTCCCCAAATTTCTGCTTCCTGTGATTGAGCAGCTACCCTGTGAAAATCCTTGTGCTGAATTCTAGACACTCAAAGATGAATATATATGGTCACTGTCAAAAAGCTCTAGTCTCAGGCACAGAAACAACTAATTGTTTAGCAAACTCTTCTATAAAGGCCAGATACAAAGTACTTTTGGCTTTAAGAGCCACATGGTTGCAACTACTCAATGCTGCCATTGTATTGCAAAAGCAGCCACAGACTAAAAACTCCAGTATGGCTGTGTTCCAATGGAACTTTATTTATAGACACTGAAATTTGAATTTCATATAATGTTCATGTCATCAAATATTTATTTTTTTCAACCATTAAAAAATGTAAAAACCATTCTTAGTTCATGAGCCATTAGAAAGCAGGTGGCAGGCTGGATACGGCCCGCAGGCAGTGGTTTGCTAGTCCCTGGTGGTCTGACGTGATGTGATGAGTGCTGTGATAGAGGCTGACTGGTTCTAGAAAAGGGAGCAAATTCTACTTGAAATAGGATGGTGTCCTGAATGGAGGAAGTGATTTGACTTTGGCCTTGAAAGGTGAATAGGATCTTGTCAGGTGAAGAAGCCCAGAGAAGGGCATTCTAAGAGACTGAAAAGCTTGAACAAAGGCATGTAAGCGAAAAAGCATATGCCCAGTTTGGGGTATTTCAAGAAGTACAATGTGGCTTGATCAGAGAGTATGAAGTGGAAAGCAAAGGGAGATTAGGTTAGAGAAACAGGTTGAAGCCAGGTCAAGGCAGACCTCCAATGTCAACCTTAGGGATTTATAGACTTTGGGCTGGTGGTTCTAACTTTTCGTTGGGTCATAGGTCTCTTTGAAAATCTAATCAAAATTATACCCTTAGAGAATTCAACTTTATCATTTTACATACAACTCTGGGTGGTGGGGGTTTACAACCTTCAGTCCCCCATTTATAGACAACAGGTGAAAAACCCCTACTCAACACAAAGGTTGGGAGAAGGGACTAAGGTTTTCCCCCTCAATGTCATTTATTTCTATGGTCTCCTGGCATGTGGCGTGCCCAACCAGTGTCTAACCTCAGAATCCACAGGGTCCACGATAGAATCATTGAGGAATTTCACCATCACAAACTTCTTCAGGGCCATCAGGTTTTTCTTGTAGGACTCATTGACACCCTGGAGGGAAAGGCCAGCAGTATCGGAGATAGCACCATCAGGTTCCAGCAGGGGGATTAAAGCCTTTCAGTGCTCTGGTCTCCCTGACCCTGGACCACCATGTTTCGTCCCATGGTACAGGCTGCTTTCTCAGCTTCCTGCCCAGAATATGCCTTTTCTTACCATCCTTTCTGACTGGCATGTCCCCACCAACCATGGTACCACCATTAATGTGTCACTGCACGCCACAGGCATCCATCATATAGGTTAAAGACATCTAGCCAGAGCAAGCCAAAGCAAAATAAGCAGCTGCAAATTCTGAGTGGTTTTGCTATACTATTGCTTTTCTCCCCCTTTCAAAAAAAATTGTTTTAGAAAACCTCCAGCCCTGGCCAGGTGTGGTGTGGCTTGGTTGGTTGAGTATCATCCCATGCATCGAAAGGTCGCGGGTTCAATTCCTGGCCAGGGCACATGACCAGGATGCAGGTTTGGTCCCCACGGTCAGGGTGCATACAGGAGGCAACTGTTCAATGTCTCTCTCCCTTCCTCTCTCTAAAATCAAAAAACATTAAAAAATAATAATAATTAAAAAAAAACTCCAGATAAACACAATATAAATTGAACCATCTAGTTTACCAGAATCTATCAAACCATGCTTGTGTTTGGGACATGTAGTCCCCTTTGAGTATCTCCTCTAAGTCTCTTTTCTGAGAAAATTTGACCAAAAAGGGACCCAAAAGGAAGATTTCCCTCAGTAAGACAGCAGCTGTGAAGTCCCATGTAAGCCAGCCAGCAGCCCACTGAGCTGACCGTGCTTCAACACTAGGAAAGGGAAAGGACCTAAGGGCCAAATGGATTTTAGTCTCCCTAAAAGGAACTGAATCTCAGAAGCACTGGCTCCCCTCCAAAAACAACTTGTTTCCTGGGTTGTCTGGGATATTTTAGGTAAACAGTCACTGCTGATCTTTTTATAAATGCCCCAAATAGAAAAGTGAATGCACAACTACAGCAGCCCGGCTTGGTGCTTACTCTCTCCTGATTAATATCTGCCAAGAAGATGCTGCGGTTGCGGTACATGTCCTCCTTTATGGGGTCGTGCCAGTATTCTGCTTGCACCAGGCTGCAGGAAGAAAAAGGAATCCAAGTGAGCAAGCTGCACAGGTCACCAGGGCACTTCAAAAGGACAAAAGACCAGAGCCCTCAAGTCCCAGGCCTTGCCCTCTAATAGGGAAGACAAGTTTTCCACCTACCAAACAGTTCACCACCTAGACACCTGAGGCAAGGACCTATTTAATACAGTAAAGAGCCCAGCTTTAGGAACAGGGCTCATCAGTATGGTTCCCGTGCCAGAGCCTTATCACTCTCATCGTGCTTCCAGGTCATGATGGCACAAGCTGTCGTCCCCTCCCACAATCCCAGTTCCTTCACCCCCCTTTGCTTTCTACTCGTCCTGAAACTCAGCTCAAATCCCACCACCCCTGCCTCCTCATCGCCCATCTACCTACTCTTCATCTCTCTCTTCATCCATCTTGCCATCTTCAGATGGGCTGGAGGTCTGACCTTCCAATCACAAAGCATTTGTCACACTACTGAGTGATGATACTAGTTTTTAGGATTCTGGTATGTCATGCAATTTTTAAGGACAAAAGGCAGATATTTGGTGGTTATACTATTATTATTTCAAACACAGGTAAGTAGTTCTCTTCACATTTTACTTTCTCTCCACTTCCCCTTCCCTTTCCCCCTGGCCCTCCTTGACCAAAACTGACACCTCTACCATAAGTTCTCCCAGTAGCTAGTTACCACTTAGCACCTACATCTACACAGTACATTCCAGCTAGAAAAAAAGGCTGAGCAGGGATCTAATGGGAGGAATTACAGCGCGGGTGGGACTTTCTATCCCAGCTTGGCAGGGGAAAAAAAATCAAAATTTCTACAGCAGGAGCCCCCAGCCAGAGTGGAAGAGCTGCCCAGAGGTGGTGATCCCGAAAGCGCCACTCAACAGAGCAGGGTGGCACTAAAGCCCACTGGAATCAGCTACATCAGAGATGATGGCAGCTCCTCATGCCCAGGAGCAGATGGGACTGAGGTTAAAGGAGGCAGCAGCCAGACTGTCAGCGGTCAAAGTGAAAAATACATTGTTTATAAATGTATTTGGAAGCTTTTAAATGTTTAGTTTCTCCAGTTTTTAAAAATGTGATGCACTCTGAACATTTATAAAATACTGGTATTAGTAGCAGTCTTGTCATTTTGTTTTAGCACTGACATCACTTACCATGTGAGAGTATCGGTCCTGTCTCTCGCCTACAAGGCTATAAGCTCCCCAGCAGGGACTGTCTGAGGCTCAGTGTAAGGTTTTGCTGAATGACACAGAATGACGTAGGAATGCCCGATAAGCTCTGAGCAAAGTAAGCTTGGCAGTGAAGGACAGGTAGGGTTTAGAGATGTGACGAGTATAGTTAGAACAGGAGTGGGTGGGCAAGTGTCAAGAGCTGAGAAGTGATGAGCACTGAGCACACAGTGACACTTCACACAGGGGGCCAATCAAGTTTCTTCAGAAATGCAAGTGAAAGAACACAAAGGTCTCCGGGTCTTGCCAGGCTGGGCTCTGGTGACTGGGATGGCTAAGGGTAAAAGGAAGGAGAGAGGCAGCGATCATAGCTCACCTTTCTGTGTGAAAAGGAAACGGTTAAGAGAGGAAGCAGAAAGAAACGATTGACATTTTGTTTTGTAAGAAGCCTGGTGGACATGGGACAGCCCGGGGAAGGATGTGAGGATGAGCAGAAGCTGGGAGTGCTGCAGAAGGAGGGGAGGCAGGGGACAGGCGGCTTTCAGGTGGACAGAGAAGAAACATGGGTTTGTACCATTACCTCCTTTTCACCACTGAAGGGCCAGATTCAGAGACCTTAAGTAACTCTCCCAAAGCTACATGGTCAGCAGTAGGAAAGGAAAGGTAAGATACGAGCCTAAATCTGTCTGAGTCTACACTCTTTCCAGGGCAGCACGGGAAGGGGCAGGAAAGGACAGCTCCCAAGCCACAACTTCCCGGCAGGCCACCCTTGGTGAGACAAATCTCTACCGTCTGAGGCTCTAGCCACTGTGGTTTAGAGATTATAATAGAACTTACCATATACATAGCACTTACCATATACCAGGTCTATTCTAAGAACTTTATAAATATTAATCTATTTAATCCTTACAAGATCCACAGGGTCAGTATTATTTTTTTTTAAATGTCTTTATTGATGTCAGAGAGAGGAAGGGAGAGGGGGAGAGAGAGAGATAGAAACATCAATGATGAGACAGTCATTGATTGGCTGCCTCCTGCATACCCCACTGGGGACTGAGCTCAAAATCCGGACATGTGCCCTGACCGAGAATCGAACCTCGATCTCCTGGATCTTAGGGCGATGCTCAACCGCTGAGCCACACTGGCTGGGCAGATAAGTACTATTTTTATACTCATGTTTACAAACAAGGCAACCATACTTCGAGTGACTTAGGTAGCTTGCCCAAGGTCAAAGTGTTAGTAGTAACAGAGGCAGAGCACAGGAGAGGAAGTCTGGGCTTTTCAACACAAGGATGTTCTCTGAAAAGTTGCTTGTTATTGAGAAACTGGAAATGATGAAATGTCTACAATTTGGAATAAACTGTGAAGTCATATGTTACAGTGCCATGCAGGAATTAAGATGAATCAGCTTCATGTATATGTGATAACAGTTTAGATCTCAAAAACATAATATTGAATGAAAAAATCATTTGTAGAGTGAAATGCACAATAAGATAACCATTAGATAATATTTTAAAGAATCTTTTTTTTAAAACATATCTTTATTGATTTCAGAGAGAGGAAGGGAGAGGGAGAGAAACATCAATGATGACAGTCATTGATTGGCTGCCTCCTGCACACCCCTGGCTGGGGGTCGAGCCTGCAACCTGGGCAAGTGCCCTGACCGGGAATTGAACCGTGATCTCCTGGATCCTAGGTTGATGCTCAACTGCTGAGCTGGGTGGTAATATTTTAAATATACAATATAACACTATATATTGATCGATTATGGATATTTACCATATATAATACACATTTTTTTAATACATAGGAAGGCTATATTCTGATTTCTTGACAGTGGTTGTCACTGTGGAAGAGGGCAGAGAATGGGACCTGGGAGAGATATGTAGAAAAATTCAATTTTATCTGAAATGTTTGTTCTTAAGAATATCTGAGGTGAATATGGCAAATACTAACTGGGGTACACGGTAGTTTGTTGCATTACTCGCTGTACTTTTATGAAAGGTCGAAAAGTATCTGAGGGAGCTTGAGTGGTTGCCTCAGTATTTCCAGGAAAGGGCGAGGCAAGTTGAGGGCAAAGGTGTGGGTAGCCCGGCCAGCATGGCTCAGCGGTTGAGCATGGACCTAGGATCCGGGAGATCAAGGTTCGGTTCCTGGTCAGGGCACATGCCCAGGTTGCGGGCTCCATCCCCAGTTGGGGGCGTGCAGGAGGCAGCTGGTCAACGACTCTCATCATTGTTGTTTCCCTCTCTCTCTTCCTTCCTCTCTCTGAAATAAAGACATATTTTTTAAAAAGGGGGGGTTGGGCAAAGGGAGACAACTGAAGAAAAGCATTCTGAAAGCCACGGGGGTGGGGGCGCAGGCCCTGCAAAGCAGGGGGCATGGAGGCTGGGAGCCAGGGACCAAGGAGAGGGCCAGCTGCGAGAGCACAGCTGGCACAGGGGAAGACGAGAGGCCAAGGCCAGAGTGACACCAGGTGGGGGGATGGCAGGGAGAAAATGAGGAAGGAGAAATCTGGAAGGGCTGCCAGTATCTCAGAGGGGAACTAGGGGGCACATTTCAGTCTGAGGGTGAGACAGAGCTATTACACTCACCATTACTCACTGTGCCACTTCCTCACTGCCCTGTCTGGGTGGCTCAGTTGGTTGGAGTGCTGTCCCCTACACCAAAGGTTGCAGGTTTGATCCCCAGCCAGGGCATGTACAGGAAGCAACCGATCCATGTTTCTCTCTCACATCAATGTTTCTTTCTCTCTCTCTCCCTTCCTTGCGCTCTAAAATCAATAACCATGTCCTCAGGTGAGAATTAAAACCCCACCACTTCCTCACTGCTTACTCAGCATATCAAATTTGCTTTGCTACAGTTAAATCATCTGAACAGTGTGGAAGACATCTTGTGGGGTCTCTGCCTAAATCAAAACCATTCTCCCTTGTGTGGGAACCACATCCTTCCTGCCCCCACCTACCAGTTACAGGGATGGGTATGGTTGGTACCATGTGGTCCCACTTCTCTGGCCACAGCTAATGAGAACAAGTGGGAAGCTGACCTGAGCTGAGGCATGGCCCCTTCCTAAGAATCTGAATTGAAGCAGAGAGATTCCAGCCTTAGACTGAGATAACCCCCTAAACAAGTTGTGCCAGGCCACCTCTCACCAGGGCAGGAGAGACTGGTCTGCATGGAGAGAAAAAAGCAGCGGCACAGATGGAGCAGCAATGACAACAGTTGGAGAGAGACTGCTTCAGCTCTTGATGGCTCTTTTTTAAAAAAAAAATAGTTTATTGATTTTTAGAAAAGGAGAGAGAAGAGAAACACTGATATGAGAGTGAAACATTGATCAGCTGCCTCTTGCTCGCCCCCTGCTGGAGACTGAGCCCACAACCTGGGCACGTGCCCTTGATCAGGAGTAGAACTAGCAACTTCCTGGTGCATGGGATGACACCCCATCAACTGAGCAACACTAGCCAGGGCGATGGCTCCCTCTGAGGCCATGGGTACCAAAATATGATTCTTTTTTATTTTTATTATTATTTTTTAATCCCCACCCAAGGATATTTTTTCCATTGCTTTTCAGAGAGAGTGGAAGGGGCAGGGGGGTGGGGGGGAGAGAAACATCAATGTGAGAGAGACACATCAATTGGTTGCCACCTGCACACGCCCCAACTAGGGCTGAGATCAAGTCTGCAACCAAGGTACATGCCCTTGACCAAAATCAAACGCGGGACCCTTCAGTTGACGGGCCAATGCTCTAACCACTGAGCAAAACAGGCTAGGGCCCAAAATATGATTCTTTTAAAATTTACTTTGGCTTGATTTGGTTTCTTTCTTGCAATCAGGATCCTCCCTAACATAAAGGCCAACCTAGGATATTGCAAAGGCAAAACTATTTCCTTTTGTCACTTTAAGCTCTCACCATCCCCCTTCCCACCACTCTACTTGTACTACTTGCCTCTTTAAATCTCATTTTGGCCATGTGTTAAAATGAGATTTTACAAAGAAACTTTAAAAGTAAAAAACAAACAGCTCTCTAAAATTTGAAAAGTACCCTAAAAGTTCACCTGTAAATGAGTTCTTGAGAATTCAGAATGCATTTCCCAGGGAAACTTATGAATGGTGAGCTGTACCCTGGCTCACATCTAGTTCATCCACAATGTTATGAAACATACCTCAAGCCATTCCACTTCTCTTCATCACACTCACCTTCCTATTCCTTTGCTTAAAGCCTCCCAATTGCTTCCCATGATGTGTAGAAGAAAATCCAAACTCCTTACGTGGCCTACAAGCCCTTGTATGATGTAGCTCCTTCTCTGTCCAAAAGCATCTATCACTCAATTCTAGTCACCTTGGCCTAGAACAAGCCAAACCTGTCTCAGGCCTATGCTTCTGGACAGAGAAGAATCAGCCTGCGTGATCTCAGCGGGACCTGTTCCCTCTGCGTGATCCCTTTCCTCAGCTCCTCCTATGCTCCTTACTTGTCATTCTTCAGACCCTGCCTTAAACATCTCTTCTTCAAAGACCATTTTGTCCAAAGTAGGTACCCCCTCCATTACTGCATCCTGCTTATTCCCACCATGGCCATAAAACTATCCAAGGTTACCCAGTGAATCTGTTCACTTGGAGATCCCCTTGCCCCACTAGTATGTTAGTTACATCGTGAGAACAGGGACCCAAACTGTCCTGTAACCAAACATTAGAGAAAACAAAGCCACTGCAATACTTATAAATAGATAAACAGAAAGCTAAAGTTGAATTAAATGCTTTCAAAACACAGCACCATTAGTGGTCACAGCCCACACCTGCTTGCTTAATGTGAACTGAGCACTGCATTGCATGCTTTACTCAATTTGTTTAATCTTTACAACCCTGCAGTAAAATACTAGTATTAACCTCACACTAGAGACGAGGAGACTCAGACATTCAAGTGCACAAAGCTCGACAACATAGAACTGAGCCTCTACAACAACCCCCAAAAAGAGATTATGGAAGGTCATTGTTTCTTTTTGCATGACTGAAGGTGTTTTTATTTTCCCTTCTCATCTGATTGTTATCTGGGGTCCGATATGGAATTCTAGATTGAAATCACTTCCCCTGAGAATACACAGGTACCGCACCACTGCCTCCTGGCTAACAGTGTTGCTGTCAGTCTGCTGCCACTGGCCTCACTTTTTTTTTTCNCTATGTTAATTATCCTTCCTTCCACCACAATAAGGTCTCTAAAGATCCAGACAGTGTGGACATCTTTTTTCTTTTTTTTTTCTTTTTAATATATCTTCATTGATTTCAGAGAGAGGAAGGGAGAGGGGGAGAGAGAGATAGAAACATCAATGATGAGAGAGTCACTGATCGGCTCCCGCCAGCATGCCCCCGACTGGGGATGTAGCCCGCAACCCGGGCACGTGCCCTGACCGGGAATCGAACTTCGATCTCCTGGATCCTAGGTCGACGCTCAACCGCTGAGCCACGCCCGGCCGGGCTGGACTCACTCTTGTAAGCAGCCTCACTGAGATCTATTCTTCATCCTTGTGTTCTGAAATTTCACGGGAATATACCTTAGCGTGGGTCTCTTTTCATTCCTTGCCTTGGCTACTTGGTGAATCCTTTTGATCTGGAAACTCATGTCCTGTAGTTCTTAGAAGTTTGCTTGTATTACTTAATAATTCCAATCCACCGTTTCCTGTTCTTTTTGAAATTCCCATTAGTCAGATATTGGACTTCCTAAGTGACTTCTCTAATTTTTTCTGTTCTCCCTTTTTTCTACCTCTTAAGAGTTTTTCTGATTTCTATGAGAATTCCTCAACTTTATATTCCTATACCTCTAATAAATTATTACATTTTTTATTTTTAATTTCCAAGAGCTTTCTCTTATTCCGATTGTTGGTTTTATTTGCATTCTGTTCTAGTGTCACGAATGCAATCTCTTACCTCTGAGTATAGGTTTTTTTTTTAAAGGTTTTCTTCAGCTCTAGAATTGCCACCTGTTTCTTCCAAGTTCCTTTTTACTTTTTGTTTGTTTTGGTCTGCCTTTCATGTCGGAGGCTTTCCTCAGATGTCGGACTGGGGTCCTTGGCAAACTGCTCTTATTTAAATGAGGTACTACAAAGCTGACCAGAAGCTCTTCACACAAGACAAAGGTTATTTACTGGTGGCTTCACTACATGGTAGTCGGGAGGAGTCCTGACTTGGAGGAGGCAAACATCAATCTGTAGGCGTTTGCTCTGGGGCCTGGCAGTTTTTCCTGAGACGGGTCCACCCCTATAAGCCTGGCTGCTGTCATTCTGGGAGCAGAGTGGGAGGAATGGGGAGTGGGAAGGGATGTTTTCAGTATGTCATCTTTCCACCATCCTGTGTTTGCTACCTCAAAGTCTGGTACTTCTCTAGTTATATTGTTCCAGAAAGTAAATTTTGCTTCTCTTGCTAGGGTAGGGGAGGAGCAATCACTTGGATGTGCACTTAAGGGAATTAGGGACTCTGATCACTCCTTATAGATTTTCAACAAAAAGTCCTGTATTTTAGTCCTGCGCATGTCTATCTTCCAAAGTATCTTCTGCATCTTGCCCTGGGCAGGTGGCTCAGTTGGTTGGAGTGTCATCCTGTACACCAAAAGGTTGTAGGTTCCATTCCTGGTCAGGGCATAGACCTGGGTTGCGGGTTCAATCCCCAGTTGGGCCATGAACAGGAGGCAACCAATCGATGTTTCTCTCGCACATCAATGTTTCTTTCTCTCCCTTCCTCTCTAAAATAAAATAAAAAAATCTGTATCCTCAGGTGAGGATTAAAAAACAAAGAAAACAAAAATGAAGTATTTTATGTGTCTAATTCCCGAGCCTTTCTGGAGCTGTCAAAAGTGAATCTCCTCCCTTCTTGTCAATGCATCCTTCTATAGACATAAAGGTATCAGATTTTTCTGCTCTGTTAAAACAGTTAATACTCACTCATCTGCTGTTTTTCAAAAACATTTTGATTGTCTTATCTCTTCCCCTATTCTCTGCCCTTGTGGATCTATCACTTTTTATTCTCTTGCTACCACTTTATTAAAATTTAAGGAGGGATTGAAGATAGACACATCAATCTACCACTGTTAATCAATATTTAGGTATCACTGACTCCCCATCCCTACTGATTGCTCATTTAGTCACTAACAATTCTGATTGCCAAGGGTTGTGTTTGGGTCACAAAAGAAATAGAAAGAAAAGGATGAGTTTTTCTTAGGCATCTGAGTTAGAATTAGAAGAATAAAGAGTAAACTAAGAATAATAAAGTATAAATAGGCCATATACATCCACAAGAACAAAGAATATGTAGGACATGAGTAACCAAGCTGTGGCTAGTCAAACCATGGAAGGGGGTAAAGCTGAGCAGTGGCTTGAGTTGCTTGAGAGGGAAGATGGAAATATAAAGTATCTTAGTTTCCTTCACTGACTAACAGGTGGCACTGGTGACCCAAGACAGCTTTGTAGCCATAGAAAAGAGCTAGCTTCGGGCTGTTTCTCTTTGAGTCACTCAGGTTTTACCTTGGAAAATGGCTCGAAGGAAGTGTTGTATTGAAGAGCTGTTATTAGACAAGAATGATACACTTGGAAAACCCATAGGTGGATGCCATAGCCATACTCGTTGATCCCAAATCTCAGTTACTACCTAGAATACTCTAGAGTTACTGAGTCTGGATACCTAGGAATGAACCCTAGAATCCATTTTTAATGAATTTCACAGGGGTTCTGGTGTATATTTTAGTTTAGAAACAACTGAACAAGAACACATTCCAAAAGTGATTCTGTATGCTTTCAAATTCTCTCTCTCTCTCTCACACACACAAGCACACACACACAGGAAAAAAACCACACCCATTTTAGTAGTCAGGGACATTGATGTAGGAGACCAACTACTCGCTGCTGACAACATAGTAATTCCTTGGGCTTGGTACTTGCTAAAGGCTTTTTGTTTTGTTTGTTTGTTTGTTTGTTTTAAGATGGACATTTATTCTGTTGTAATTACGTTCTTCTTATATTGAAAAATGCCCTCCCTTTCCTTTTCAAATTAACATTAAAGCAGTTTTAGGTTTACAATAAAATTGAACAGATAGTACAGAGATATTTATAGGGGAAAAACCTCATTTGAATATCACTAGCAACTATTCCTGGAATCCCTGTTACCATGAAAGTCAGCACGATATTTTCATGCAGTGACAGCTCTGGGTCTTTTTCAGCTAACCATACGTACTGTTCTTGAATAGCTTTGTTGTAAGCCCCAGAATTCAGTGTTTTTCTGATCAAGTCACAGATGTGAGAGCTCTCTCCTGGGCACCGAGGGAGTCCAAAAACACCTATAGTAGTAGAAGACAAATATCCATTCCTTCAATAATTATGTATTGAACACCTACTATGTACAAAGCACTGTGAGAAACAAACAAAAATGGCAGAGCTTGACCCTGACTTCATTCACATATTCTTTAAGAAAATAATGTACTGAGGATTAATACTATAACCAGCTTCCTAAAGGCTTTTTGTTTGGTACTCCCACACTCTTTTCTGCCTAAGGACCTTTGCACCTGCTCCTTCTGGAGGACACCTCAGAGAAAGTGCAGGTTCAGTTCCAGACCACTGCAATAAAGCAAATATTGCAATGAGTCACTGAGTTTTTTGGTTTTCCAGTACATATAAAAGTTATGTTTACACTACACTGTAGTCTATTAAGAGTGCAACAGTCTTAGGTCTAAAAACACAATGTTCATACCTTAATTAAAAAATACTTTATTGCTAAAAAATGCTAACCATCACCTGAAATTTCAGCAAGTTGTAATCTTTTTGCTGGTGGAAGGCCTCCCCCGGAGGTTGATGAAAACCTAGTATTTGCGAGGCACCATAAAGCAAAGTGCAATAAAACACGGTATGCCTGGACTTCCCTTGCTGCGTCTATGGCTGGACTCACTCGCATCTCGCGGGTTGGGGCTTAGTTTAGAGAAGTCATATCTGACTACCCTAACTCAGTACTGCCCAACCATTTCCTTCTCTCCCAGTTACACCTTTGCCCTCATTTGCCCCTCAGTAACATTTTTGGAGGTACCAGGCACAGTTCTGAGCACATATTGACAATAATTACAGTAATCCTCACAACTACCCTCTGGAGTAGAAATCATCATTTGCCCCAGATATGAAACTTTAAAACAGAGAGGTTCAATACCTTGTCCAAGGTTAGATAGTAAGTGATGCAGCCAGGAGATGAACACAGGCAATTTTCGCTCCAGAGCCCACACTTTTAACCAATACAACCACAGTTCTCTCTCTCAAGTATTAACCCTTTTTTTCCCTTTTATCTTAGTTACCACTTTATTTTATTTGATTTATATCTATCCCTGCTGCTACCCCACCCCTAGAATAGAAGTTTCATGAAGGCATGGACCCTGTCTGTCTTGTTTCTAGGTTTTCAATAAATATTTGTTGAATGAATAAATGGTAAAGCTGTTATTACCAACTTGCACTTGAATAATACTTGCACTTTTAGAAAGTATTTCCTACCTATTATTTCACTTCATCCTCTGAAAAATTCCCACAAGAAGAGTAGGGCCTTATTTTAGTTCCCCTCATCTGTGACAGCAACCTATGATATCTAATTACTCGCCCATCAGTAATCGTTAACTGGATGAATCCAGTTTGCTGATTATAAAGAGAACCTATCCCTACACTATACCACCTAATACCTATACCCATCAGAACAGAGATAAAGTTCTATTCCAAAGACACATCCTTGCCCAAAAGTCTATAATTCTGTCTAAATAGAAAACCTGTTGTTTTTTGAAGGATTTAATTGCTACTGTTAATTTTACAAACAAAAAGGCTTACACATTGTTCTTTGCCTAAGAACAGAGATCACCGATGTCAGAAAACAGGAAAGGTTGTTAGACTTTCCTAATTCCTCAACCACCACCTGCCACGTGGCCCCAACCATCTCCTCTCCAGGAAATCATGCCAATTAAACTGGAGAGAAGTAGATGGCAACTTAATGCTTCACCTGTGTTCCAGGCCTATGGAACCCTAAGTGTCTTCCTATTTCTTCAAGAATGCTGGCTAGTTTGCTATAAGCTGGAAAAAACCAGAATTTTGCAAGAATGGCTGACTTCTTGTATAAATAGAGCTGCTAGAATTTTTTTTAAATCAAGTGGTCATATGGGTTAAAATAGAAAAAAGGAGGCAGAGAACCAAAGTTACCTTGATGTTGTCCCCCAATTGAGATCAGATTGATCATGGGAGGTGAGGGACATCTCTGAGCCACTGCTCTCCTGAGGAGGAAAAAAGGATTATAAGCACCAGCTGTCAGATGGAAACGTATCACCAACAATCAATTCCCCAGATTAAGACACTTAATTCTCTGCAGTTCCCAAACACCACGGTGTTTCAGGATTTTCCTCTGATATGACCAAACACAAGTCTTTATTCTGTCATAGAAAATAAATTAAGTTCCATCAAGCTTCTTACACAGGGACATTTTAGAATAGTTTCCAGGCGGCTGTCTATGGAGCACTCCCACGCCTTTCCCCACCCCCTTCCGCAGGCAAACTTTCCTAGCCTTTCTCTTTCTTCCAAGTTCCAAGGGCCCTTTTTTTTGCCTCTATAATTTGTTTCCTGAGCCCATTTCTTCTACCCCTGTGACTTTCTCAATAAACTTTCTCTTGTAGTTTGTGGGCGGAAAAAGAATAGTTTCCCTTCCAAGACAGGTAAAGATCAAAACAAAAAATTAGAGGAGTGGATCTGTCTGAATAAGAGAAAAATAAATCAACCCCATGTAATTGGTATAACAGAAATGAACTTACAGAAATTGGCCTCCCTGGGAGAATCCCATAGCATTGTAGCCTTGCTGCAATTTAGGATCCTTAGCAAGAATCTGACACACTGATGTTACTTGGGAATTGACATTCAAGAAGAAGCTGTTCTCCACATCCTAAAAGAGGAGCCATAGAGAAGTGAAAAGATGGGGCTGAAAACAAACATTGGTGTCTTCTCTAAGAGGTGAACTTGTTTAGGTTGGTATCCTCACATAAGCTACTCAAGAGTTAAAGTGTCATTGAAGGATTTGCTGCTAAAAATACAAGGTAAAGCATTTTAATAGTACATTCTATGAAATTAGTCAGCGAACCTTCAAAGGAACAGAGCTGTGAAAAGCCTTACCTCTATCATGGTTTTCCCAATCTCTAGAGATAAGACGTAAATTCCAGGTATTTTCTGCTCAACCATTTTTTTGATAGCACCCATGCTTAAGGGATTACAACAGCTGTCTCCTAGACAACAAACACAGTGATGGGAACTCATGAATCATAACAACATTATTTTTTAAAAACTTTTGTGCTTCAAAGGGCATTATCAAGAATGTGAAAAGACAACATACCGGATGGGAGAAAATATTTGCAAAACATGTGTCTGATGAGAGTTTAATATCCAGAATATACAAAGAACTCTTACAATTCAATGACAAGAAGATAACCTAAATAAAAATGGAAGGGCCTCCACACACATCTCCAAAGATGATATACAAATGGCCAACAAGCACATGAAAAGACGGTCAACATCATCGCTCATTATGGAAATGCAAATCAAACTACAATGAGATACCACTTCACATCTACTAGGATAGCTTTAATAAAATAATTAATTTTAAAAAATGAAAAACAACAAGTATTGGCAGAATATGGAGAAATAGGAACCCTTGTATATTGCTGGTGGAAATTTAATATGATCCACCCATTGTGAAAACAGGCTGGTAGTTTCTCAAAAAGTTAAACATACAGTTACAGTTACCATATGATCCAGACATTTGACTTCTAGATATAGACCCAAGAGAAATGAAAACATATGTCCACACAGAAACATGTACATGAATGCTTACAGCAGCATTATTTGTAACAGTCAAAAGGTGGAAATGACCCAAATGTCCATCAATGGATGAATGGATAAACAAATTGTCATATATGACAGAATAGTATTCAGCCATAAAAATCAACGAAGTACTGACACTACAATGTGGATGAACCTAAAAACATTATAATAAGTGAAATAAGCCAGATACAAAAGGCTACATATTTTATGATTTCTTTTATACGATATATCCAGAGTAGGCAAATCCATACAGACAGAAAGCAGGTTGGACATTTCAGGGGGTTGTGGGAGAAGGGAAATGGGTACAGGTGTTTTCTGAGGTAATAAAGTTTTGAAACTAGAGAAAAGTGGTGGTTGCACAACACTGTAAAAACACTAAATGCCACTCAATTGTCTACTTTATTATACTTAATTGTAGGCTACAAGAGCTTCAATTCAATTAAAAAAAACACACATTTTTGCTTAGCTCATGTTTATCAAGTAATAAACTTCAAAGCCCATACAATAAACTGGGACACCAAATTTACAACTGAAAAATAAGCAGAGGTGCATATTCCCCTCCCTTATCATCAGGAACATTTTGGGTTAATGGACTCAAAAGTGCTTTGGGATTGAATTTCTTCTTAAGGCCAGGACTAGGGTAAGACAAGTGAAGAACATAGAACACAAAATTTAAGGAGGCACTCACTCTCAAGTTCATGCAAGTGCTGACCCTGAACTTGTAACAAACTAGAGAGTGAGTGCTTTCTTAAATCTTACATTCTAGGGCAGCAATTTTCAACTTGTATGGTATGCTGATGCAGGCACCCTGGTATGCCGCAAGGATTTTTAAAATAATGCAATACCTGAGCCCCGGCCTGTGTGGTTCAGCTGGCTGGGCGTCGGCCCATGCACCAAAAGGTCACTGGCTCGATTCCCACCCAGTCAGGGAACCAGTTCTCTCATATCAGTGTTTCTCTTTCTCTACCTCTCCCTTCCTCTCTCTCAAATCAATAAAAACATTAAAAAACAAAACAAAACATGCAATACCTGACTATTCAGTCAGGGGCACTGACCTCTTTTCCCTTAGAATGTCAAATTTAAAAAAATGACAACATCCAACACAATAGCTGCCTGGTGCGAATGAATCAAAATTATACCCTTTTTTTTTGTCTGATCGGCAAAAAATACATTTTTGGTGTACTGCAGAATTTTAGTAATTAGCTTATGTGTGCAATGAGATGAAAAAGGTTGCAAATTGTTGTTCTAGGGGCTTCCTTGTTTCATCCAAGGTCCAGCCCAGTTTCTTTTCCTGTTTTAAGGAACCAGAACTAAGAATGGGAAGCAAAGTGTCTGGCCACAGAGTGGAAGAAGTGGGATGAGATCATTATACATTTTAACTTAATTATCCCATTTTCAACCTGAGAGGAAGCTTAAGAATTAGTTTTTAAAGGAGAAAAATCTAAGGATTTCGCTCATAGTAACATTCACCACACTGAACTGTAACTGTTGGTTCTTACCTGCCTCCGTATGGACTATGTTCTGGGGGGACATGGAACATCTTGTGTTCTTGTTTAACTCCACTGTAGCAGCCCCAGGGCCTGGCACAAAGCCCTGAAAGAACTGTCTGTATTTGCTGACTCTAATTCCTCTCTGAACACTTTCCCTTTAACCCATTCCAATAGGCAAATTCTCGCCATTCTTCCCAAACTGATTTTGTCAGAGTCTTTAGTGATATTCATGTTGCTAAATCCAGTAACCAAGTCTCAGCCCTTTATCTTACTTGGCCTGTAAACAGCCCATACAGTTGGTTACTCCCTTCCTCTTGAAACATTTTCACCAGTTCGCTGGGACATTGTACTCTCCTGACTTTCCTCCACCTCCTTGGTTGTCCCATCACTGTCTTCTTTGCTAGTTCCTCATCTCAACCTCCTCAGGGCTCAATCCTCAGACCTCTCCTGTCTTCTGTGTACACTCACTCCCTAGGTTATCTCACCCAGTCTCATGGCTTTAAACATCAGCTATACACTGAAGCCTTCTCCAACTTAAATCTCCAGCCTGTATCTCTCTCTGGGACTCCAGACACTCCATGTCTAACAAGCATCTCGAATTTATTAAGTTCAAAAGCAGACCCTTGATCTTCTCCCCACTTCAAATGTAGGACAGGCTTCCCTACTTTGGTAAAATGACAACTGCATCCTTCTAGTTGTTCAGGCCAAAACCCATGGAGTCATCCTTGATTCCTTTCTCTCTCATCCCACCTCTCGTTTGTTAGCAAATCCCTTTGGTGTCATTTTAAAATATTCCAAATTTTGACCACTTCCCCTTATTACTATACTATTCCAAGCGACTGTCATCTCTTGTTTAAATTACTGTAATAGCTTCCTAATTTATCTCCCTGCAAATGTCCATGACCTCCTACAGTCTGTTCTCAACTAGAGTGGTTTCTTTTAAGATGTAAGTTAAGATCATGTCACTCATCTCCCCTCCTCCCTCCAGGGGCTTCCCGGTCTCCTTCCAGCCACAGTCCCTACAGTAGCCTTAGTAAGTGTAACAACATCTGCAGCCCCTATGCCCCCACCCCCGACCTAAACCCTTATTTTCTTCTCCTTGCCCACTCAGTTCCCACCACACTGGCCTGAATGTAGCTTCTTGAACATACTAGACATCCTTCTGCCTCAGGGCCCTTGCACTTGCTGTTCCTTGGACCAGAGGGCCACATGGCATCTCCCTTGTCCACTTGAGGTCTTTGCTCCGATGTCACTTTCCCAGTGAATCCTTTCCTGATCTTGCTCTATAAAATTGCAGGCCACCATCTTCGGTTTCTATTCCCCTCCCTGTTTTATTTTAATTTTTTCTATCGCACTTAGCACCATTTGACATACTGTGTTTTACGTATTTCTTTATTGTCTGTTTCTCCCATTGGAAAGCAAGCTCCAAAAGAGCAAAGGATTTAGTCTGTAGCGTTCACAACTGCATCCTCAGCATCGATAGGTGCTCAATAACTATGTTACTTGGTGCCTCGCAAATCTCTGTTCAATCCGGGAATGAATAAAAGGGCGGACGCCTGGGCTGTGCAGCCACAGCCCAGCTCCTGAGCAAGCGCCAGGCGCTGCATCCCGACGCCACTGCTGGGAGGGTTCCACGAGCTCCGCAGGTAAAGCCCGGCCGCCGCGCACAGCCCTCTGCGGGCGCTCACTGGAGGACAGAGCCTCCCGCTCTCCCTTCGCAAAGCAGAGGAGCCCCCAAAGCCTAACGTCGGGCCAGGCGGCTGCTGTGACTACTGTCCACGCCCTTCGCACTCGCACTTTCCAGCCGCGAACTCAGGCAGAAAGAGGGAAAGAGTCGCCCAGCCCTTTTAATCCTTCTCCCACTTACTCACCCATCCCATGCCAGATCACTAGCGGCAACGGCGCGGGCGGGCCCAGGCGCCCCGGCCCCAGGGCGGCGCAGAACGCC